ATTTTATATACAGTAGTGTATATATGTCAATCCCAATCTCCCAGTTTATCCTTCCCCCCTTTACCCTTCGTAACTATATGCATGTTTTCTGTATCTGTGACTATTCTGTTTTGTAAATTAATAGTTTTTAAAAAGCACTTTCCAGAAATCTGAGGAGAGGGTGATATTCATTTATCAAAATAAGATTTAGGCTTGAATAATAGTAACTATTATTAAAGTTTTATTTATTTATTTAGGCTCAATTTATTTATTTAGGCTCAGTTATCAATAAAAAAATAAATTTTATTTATTTAGGCTCAAATAATAATAACTATTATTATTTTGGGCTCCAAAGTCACGGCAGATGGTAACTGCAGCCATGAAATTCAAAGACACTTGCTCCTTGGAAGAAAAGCTATGACCAACCCAGACAGCATATTAAATAGCAGACCTTTGCCAACAAAAGTCCATCTAGTCAAAGCTATGGTAGTCATGTATGGATGTGAGAGTTGGACTATAAAGAAAGTTGAGCACCAAAGAACTGATGCTTTTGAACTGTGGTGTTGGAGAAGACTCTTGAGAGTACCTAGGACAGCAAGGAGACCAAACCAGTCAATCTTAAAGGAAATCAGTCCTGAATGTTCATTGGAAGGACTGATACTGAAGCTGAAACTCCAGTACTTTGGCCACCTGATGTAAAGAACTGACTCATTGGAAAAGACCCTGATGCTGGGAAAGATTGAAGGCAGGAAGAGAAGGGGATGACAGAGGATAAGATGGTTGCATGGCATCACTGACTTGATGGACATGAGTTTGAACAAGCTCCAGGAGTTGGTGATGGACAGGGAAGCCTAGCATGCTGCAGTCCATGGGGTCTCAAAGAGTTGGAAACGACTGAGCAACTGACCTGAAGAGTAACTACTACTATTATTTGACAACTCTGTATTAAGCACATAATATACATCCTCTCATTTAATCATTCCAGGAGCCCAATGAGATAGTATTATCCCTAATTTCCAGACGAGGGATCTGGGGGGATGAGGGGGTTGACTTGTCTAATGGCAAACAATGAGTATGGATTCCGATTCAGTCAAGATCCAAGGCCCCAAACTTTAATCATCAGTCTGTGATACTTGTTTGCTTTTTATCCCTCCCCACCTTCCTAACTTCCCTCTCTCCTCCTTTCTCTCTTTTCTTTCCTTTTTCCTTCCTTCTTTTTTTGAAAGGGAAAGACCTGGTTCAACTCCCAGTCAAGAAGTCTCTGCAGTTTCCTAGGGTGCCATTAATTAATTTCTTCCCTTGAGTGTTTCTGTGGGGGATGGACAAAGGAAAGACGAAAATAAATATGCTAACTATCTAGTGGGTGTTAAGCATACTAAGAACTTTTGTGTGCTAAGTTGCTTCAGTCGTGTCCAACTCTGTGACCCCATGGACTACAGCCCACCAGGCTCCTCTGTTCATGGGATTCCAGGCAAGAATACTGGAGTGGGTTGCCATGCCCTCCTCCAGGGGATCTTCCTGACTTAGGGATCAAACCCATGTCTATTATATCTGCTAGATTTGCAGGCTGGTTCTTTATCCACTGAGCCACCTGGGAAGCCCTCTAAGGCTATTTCTGTCCATTGCATTGCTTTCCATTTTCACAATTCCTAGTCTCCACTAATCAAGCTGTATTCATCCTTCAATGCCCAACTTAAGCACCTCCTTATCCATTTGTCATCTATTCTCATCCTCAGAGATGGCAACATTTGATCACCTCCCAACCCTGTGTGAAAGCTTTCAGAGCTAACCTTTTGTTTGCTTAACTAAGCCCAGACTTTTTTTCCAGTCTGGTATTCAAATCAGTCATTCAGTCACAAACACGTGCTGAGAGCCAATTATGTGCCAGATACATAATTGGGACAACTGAGGAGAACCAGACAGATAGTTGCTGCCCCCATAGTGAACAAGCTAGATAGTAAATAATTACAAATAATGAATTAAATACTTACTCCTCTGAATCAAGTAATTACAAGCCCCTCAACAAATCTGGCCTCAACCCATCTTTTCAGAGTTTTTTCTCATCCTTTTACTCCACCCCTGGGCTTACTCCGGCTTCCCCACCTCTGCCCCTGGGCCCATGCTCACCCTCCACTCCTGAATGCAGGTTCCTCCCTGTTCCCCACATCCATCTCCAGGACCAGCTTTAGTTCTGCCTCTTCCATGAAACCTGGCTAGACAACCTCTGCTAGACAACTTTAGCCTGAAGGATCCTCCCTCATTTGAATTCCTAGCACTTATCCATTCAACAAATATTTACTGAATGACTTCTTGAAATGTTTGATGAATGAATGAATGACTCTTCTTGAGGTTCTAAACACATGCTATGATATCCGAGATTTAAGTTATGTGGGGAATTAGACTTTTCCTACTGAGACAGATCCCAAGATTTTTTTCTTTTTTCTCTTCTCTTCTGGGGAGGGGAGGAGTCGAGATAAAAACTGTATAGTAAAATACACAATATGACAATAAAAATTGCCCATACTCATAATTCTACCACTTGAAAGAGATCATCATTGATGATTATTCTCTATATCTTTTTAGTATTTTTTTTCCTGTTTTTTCTCTCTGTTAATACCATTTTGAAAAATTCCTTCTTCCTCCAAATTAAATTTTTATTAAGATATTTTTTCTTGTGCTTTTAAAAAACACAAAATGCCTGTACTCCCTCCCTGCTTGCTCTCTTCTGCTTAGGAGTGGCATAGTTTTATTTTGAACAAAATTTAGAGAATTTACACAAAGACTCATCCGTATCTTTTCCAGTTCACTGATTCTATGTACAAGAAGAATCTGAACACTGTTTCAGGGCATTTACTCAGAAGTCTGTTCTCAAGACCTACTCCAGTTGATCTTTAGACCACACTCTACCCTCCCTTCTTCAAGTCCTGAAATGGGTGGTGGTTGTTTTTTAGTCCCTCAGTCATATCTGACTCTTTGTGACCCCATGGACTGCAGCCCGCCAGTCTCCTCTGTCCATGGGATTTCCCAGGCAAGAATACCGGAGTGGGTAGCCATTTCCTGGCATACAGTGTAGTCACACTCATGTGCAAACCACAGAATCTCAGGTCTGTAAGATGACAGATCTTCCAGATCACCCCTTCTCTTTAAGGGTGAGCAGACGGTTTAGTACTTGCTCAAGATCTTGCAGCTGGTGGCAGCAAAGCTGGAGATGCCAGCCCTGGTTATCTTTTCAAATTGCCTCACTGTCTTCAGGTTGTCTAATGATTAACCCCAAACTGAAATTAAACAACAACAACAACAACAAAAACAGTGAAGCACTAAACTTGCCAAGTAAATCAGACCTATTCCTACCACGGAAGGGGAAAACTTGAGCAGAGATCAGGCAGGACTTCTCAGCATGGGCTTATTTTGAAAAGTCACAGAATCTTCTCATTGAAAATCTATATTGCTGTGAAAGAATTTAAGCACAGAAGAAATGTTAGGGCCACCTATCTCTTTCTTAAGGTTTGAGAAGTGGAGGATAACAAAAGGATAGATGGAAAGTATGTCTTGCTCATGAACTGCAGTATCGTTTTGTGTGTATATTCAGCTTTGGTTCTTAATATGATGGCTACAGAGGTTACCGTGATCCAAGGTTTAATTCCCCCAGGTGAAAGAAATTCAAGATTTGTATTAAAATGACGTCTCTTCAGATGGCCCAAGCCCACTTCACCGACAGTTTTCCCACCCTCAGTTTGAGCCCCAGCAAAGTGGTCTCTCTCTCTCTCTCTCTCTCTCTCTCTCTCTCTCTCTCTCTCTCTCGTTTGAATTCTAAACATCGATGATATTGGACTCTCTTCCTACAAGAACCCAAGGAAAGGCAAGCTGTATACAGTCCTCATAAAGGCAAGAACTGTAGTTTTAAGAGTTCTAAAGATCATTCCAGTGGGCCTGAAGGCCTTAATAGACGAAAGGCTACGGATGGAGTAGGGGTGCAATACAGTCGGAGGGGAGTCGAAGCTGATCCACCTGGTAGGGACTGGAGCAGAGGCAGCTCCAAGAGAAGGGAGAAGCCAACCGTAAGAAGGAGCTGGAGAAGGAAGAGCTCTCCCAGAGGGCGCTACCCAGCTCGCCTCTCCGCTCGCTCTCAAAAGCTCACTTTAAGATCAAGAACACAGGTGGTGCCCAATGGGAGTCCCTACCCCTTCGCAGTAAACAAAGGGAGCGGTCTCCTTCAGCGTTTTTGGTCTGAATGAGGAGGGCTCGGCTCTACCTTTGCGGAACCACCCATCCTTCCCCAGGCGCCCAATGAGGCCGCAGCCTCTTCCTTGAACACTCCCAGGAAACGGACAGGTAGCTCAGACCAATGGCTGGAGCTGCGGCGGGCCAATGGGAGAGAGAAATGGGTCAACCTGGGGTTTGAGAATGGGAGAGCCCGCACAGGGCGGGGGGCGGGGACAGGGGGGACCCGTGACGTAGGAGCAGGGTGGGTGGAGTGGGGCGGGGTGGATGGCTGGCGGGGGTCGGCGGCGTCCAATGGGAAGACAGGATAGCCCGGGGGGCGGGCCCTTCAGCAGAGAGGCCCTGCCCCCTAGGGTCCGCAGGGCTGGGGTGGAGCCAGGTCCGCGTCAGGTGGTCCAGGGCGTGCGGGCGGCGCAGGGGGCGGAGCGCAGCGCGGAGCGGGGAGCGGCGGCCGGCGGGCGGCGGCGGCAGCGGCGGGCGGCTGCTGGCACCGGCTGCGCGAGCAGGTTACCCGCGGCGGAGGTAGCCAGCCGCCCCAGGGGGGCGATCGCGAAGGCTAGGGCCCCGGCCCGCCGCGACCCGATGCTGCGGTGAGCGCTCGAGCTCCACGCACTTGTCTCCGCTCCCTGCCGGCCCCAGCCCCGAGCGATCCGGCGCTCGCCGCCCCGCCAACCCCGGCCCTACCTGAGGCCGCCGTCGGGGGAGGGGTGTCCCCCCAGCTCCGCGGAGCCGCATGAACAATAGGCGGCGGCGGCTCCTGCGGGCGGCGGCAGCCCCGCACCCTATGGATCGGCCGCTCCATGGAGCCCTCCAGTGCGCTTCTCGGCTGCCTGGCGAGCGCCGCTGCTGCCGCCCCGCCGGGGGAGGATGGAGCCGGGGCCGGGGCCGAGGAGGAGGAAGAAGAGGAGGAGGAGGCGGTGACGGCCCCCCGGGAGCTGGGCTGCGGCGCGCCGCTGCCCTACTGGACTGCCGTGTTCGAGTACGAGGCGGCGGGCGAGGACGAGCTGACCCTGCGGCTGGGCGACGTGGTGGAAGTGCTGTCCAAGGACTCGCAGGTGTCCGGCGACGAGGGCTGGTGGACCGGGCAGCTGAACCAGCGAGTGGGCATCTTCCCGAGCAACTACGTGACCCCGCGCAGCGCCTTCTCCAGCCGCTGCCAGCCCGGCGGCGAGGACCCCAGTTGCTACCCGCCCATTCAGTGTAAGGCGAAGGCGGGCTCGGGAGCCGGGCGGGGGAGGGGGACGGGGGATGATGGAAGCCTGGGGATGTTTGCAGAGGGAGGGGAGGCCTCCCTGAAGGTTAGGTTGGGGTGGGCAATGATTGACCTGGGTGTGTGTGTGTGTGCGCGCGCGCGCGCGCGCTCAGGCTACACGGGCTTTGGTGGGTGCAGTGGGTAAGATAAGACACGCCGCAGGCAGGCCTCGCTTGGAACCTCAGGCGCTTGGGCTTCTTCACCTTCACCTGACCACCTCAGCAGCAGCTCGATTCCACATCCTGAAGCCCCAACATTCCCCCCCCCCCGCCCCCCAAATCTGGTAGGATTTTAGGCAAGCTGGTGGTTTCTGTAATAACCTTAGTCCTCAAATCAGGGACCTTCTCGACCTCTTCTATCGCCTGTCCTCGCCCCTTACTTTTGCTTTAAAGGAGATGGTGGTGTCTCCCTCAGGGCCGAGCTGGTTCACAAGTCCCGGAAGCCTTTGAAATACCTTTGAAATTCCGTGTTGATTTCTTCGATCCTAATCTTGTATCTCAAAAGTGGTGCCTTTAGGAGTCTCACTGAATAATGTGCTAAGAAAGGTGTGTGTGTGTGAGAGAGAGTAGGTGGAGGGGCAGGTGATGAGTGGAGAAATGATAGGGAAAAGTATGCCATCCCCCCCAGAGAGATCAGGAGCACAGGATATAGTGGTGAAATCCCAGCACCTTGACACCTAGACAATATATTTTCTCCTTTCTTCTCACCCTAGATCCTTGCCTATATTTGGTATTTGCCAAATCTCAGGGGAATGATACCCAGAGGTCCCTCCCAGGGCCATTCTTCCAGTGTCCTGGTTTTCACCAATTCCCAGGAGCCCCCTGTTCCACACCCTGTAATGAATTTTTCTTTGTTTTTTCAAAGGAGTTAACTTGCCATTAGAATCCTTTAATCCGTGATGCTAGGTAGTTTTAGAAGAAAGATGTAAATATCTCCCGGTACAGTTTACACTATTTTGTATTTGAGGGTTTCCGTAATTTCTTTCCTGTTAAAAAAGTATTGTTAGTAGACATGTATTTTTATTTATTCTATGTTTTATGTACTTTGCCCCTTAGCTGATTTAAAAAATCATTACCGAGGGATAACTTTAAATAGTTTAAAACTTTTAGTTGTAACAGTTATTTCTCTGGTCCTATGACTTATTTTCACCCAAACAATTGTATTATATCTTAACATGTTTATTAAGTAACAGCCATTAGTATCAAAATCATAGCCTCTTTCCTTGTTTTGACTGTCAAATTGACATTCAAGTATTTAGCTTCCTTTGTTTTCTCTCTATTTTATTCAGCTAAAAACTTCCAGCTTCTGCTGTTTGATCTTTATAATACCTGGAGGTGACACATTACATTGTTTCCAGTTGTTGCATCTTTTTGGCACTAGTGCTAGAAAAGTGAAGGCTAAAGGTCCTAGCATATAATGTCCCAAATAGTGTTGAAGATGAACTTGGTCGCATACTGGAAGAGATGTTGGCCTGGCATGTTAGAAAGTAGTGTAGTTTAAACATGTCATATTTTGAGGTTCTTTGTGGGTGATGTTTGGTGATTTGTTTTTCAGAGACATCTGGTATCAGAGTAGAAGAGCTCTGTGAGGTTCGTGAGCGGGAACTGAGTTTCTTTAGTAGTTTGTGCTCCTGCTTTCAGAGCAGTCAGGAGTGAACCTGACCGAGGCTGGACGAACCCATGCACAGAAAACCAGATAGGTCCACACTGCACCATGTTAGAAGCTCTTTCTCCGTTGGGTTCCCAGGACTTCACCTTTACGGTAACAAAAGTTACCTTGGATAGAATAGATTCCTGTATCTAAAACTCAGATGACGAGAAATTAGGAAGCATCTTGTACTTACTGAAATAATTGACTTGAACAACATTGCATTTGAAGGTCTTGTTACGTTAATTAGCCACACTGGGAGTTCTGATCTTGTCTGGGCTTAATTCTTGATAATTCAGAAAATTTAGTTCTAATCAAAAACCAATTAGAGTGCCTAGTGAAAGAGAGATACTGTGTTAAATACCAGGGGATAAAGAAATGAGAAGGTGAGGAGGTACTTAAAAGTCACACATGAGGGAAACTGGTGAAGTAAATATATCATTTCAGTGCAGTGCTTCGCTAAAGGAAGTTGCTGATCTGATCAAGTGTTTCTGGTCCGTATGCTGTGTCCACTGGTTCAGTTACTGTCACTCAGAAAATAAAGGTGATTGACGACCTTGTCTCCAAAGACTTTGAATGAAATTGAGCCTTTGACAACTTCCCCAGTTAGTTTTTTGAACTTCCTCTTTGGGGCATGAATTTTGCTATTAGATTGTGAATAGAAGACACAAAAGTGTTTAGTTACTCTGTCGTGTGTCTGACTTTGTGACCCCATGGACTGTAGCCAGCCAGGCTCCTCTCTGTCCATGAAATTCTCCAGGCAAGAATACTGGAGTGGGTTGCCATGAATAATGTTCAGTTTTAATTTCAAATACTGCTTTTCAGAGTGAAACTTTTGCTGCAGACTTTAATCAAAACAGAAGAGGAGGAAATTAGTAAATCTTGTGACAAGGAAAACATATAGGAAGGGTATTATAAGTCATCCAACACTCAAAGAGTGCATTTATCTTCTCCAATGTAGGTATTAGAGTTTAGCTCTCCATGGGGCTGACAAATATAAATAACCCAGGAGTGTGCTCATCTTCTTTATTTTAGTGAAAGATGGAAAATGTATAGTTATATCATCTTTGGAAATCTATAACCGTAGGTATTGAGAAAAAGTTTCTCTTACAGGAGAGTTGTTTTGTTTTCAAGCAGGGCATACATTAAGGATATGATTGATTTACATTTCTTTGTCTTGCACTCACTAGAAATATAAGGGTGTATTTTCAGATGTACTTAAGATTTTTAAATGAGTGATGTGTGTACTATTCACTTACCCCAAACTCATCAGAATGTGCCTGTATGTTTAGTTTCTAAGGATACATTTGAGAGGGAATAGTGTCTTGGCTCCAAAACTGAAAGAAATAAGGATTTTTCCCTGATATTCCTGGATATATTCTTCCACAGAAACTGAAATATGTGCTGCATGAGACTTGACCTGATTCTTACTTCAAACCAGGTCTTTACTGGAGCAGGGAAGGGAAGGAGTCCCACATGCTCTCAGCTGCAGTGATAGTCTAGTTTCTATCCACAAGGACTTCCTAACAGGGAAGAGAAAGGAGAGGAGCCTCCCCACATCCTCCACTATTCTTTCTTCTGTCTGCTTGTAAGTTCTCTTCTATGCTTTTCTTGAAGCCTGGTCAAAATATTTCCTTGATTAAATAACAAGAACATGAGAGTTTATGTTCTACACAGAGAGAGAGAGATCATGGCTTTGCCTTCCCCACAGAGGTTTTCTGTCTTCTGTGAAATGCCATCAGAGGAGCTGTCCTTTCAGCACCCTCGTTCAGAATCACATCTTTTAAGTCCTCTTATGTTTAAATAAGGGGCTTCCCTGGTGTCTTAGTGGTGAAGAATCTGCCTGCCAATGCAGGAAACATGGATTCATTCCCTGGGTTGGGAAGATCCCTTGGAGAAGGAAATGGCAACCCACTCCAGTATTCTTGCCTGGGAAATCCCTTGGACAGAGGAACCTGGTGGGCTACAGTCCTTGGGATTGCAAAGAGTTGGACATGACTTAGTGACTCAACAACAATGATAAATGTTTAAATAAATATTTAACACCTCCTGTGTGTTCACAACTATGCTTCAGACCAGAGGAAAGAAGAGGGTGGATACACAAGAAAATACAGCACTTACTTTCCTTAAAGAGAACTCAGATATCTGAGGAATAAGATATGTAAATGTGCATTTATTAAATAGGCACCTACCTTTTTATCCATGAAAAATCTGGTAAAAAAAAAAAAAAAAAAGAGTGCTCCCTCCATGACCAATAGATTCCTAACGCAACTTACAGTTTTCTCCAGGAAGGTTCTAATCTCTTTTTGATGTAGGCATATTTTTTCTTATTCATGTAATAGATAAGACAAGAGTTATTAATCAGTCAGGATTCATTTTAGGACCTAAAAACACTCAAACTACTTTTAACAGAAAACAATTTAGTAGAAGAAATTGGGTGCTTGTAGATTTGTTGGAAGGGCAGGGAGAAGGGGCTCTTGGCTAGAACTATGGGACCAACTCCCAGTCCATTGCAGACCTGGCCCACCAGACAGGTGCTGCTTCTCTGAGAAGGTACAGAATCAGGAGTTGCCATTGAAGTTGACTTCTCCAATACCCTGTTGTAGTTGCTGTCTGGAGATTAGGTGACTACTTGGCCTTGCAACTTTCCTTTCCACATCTGCAAAACTAATAAGCTACCCCCATTAACTATAACCCATCAGGCTCCTCTGTCCATGAGATTCTCCTGGCAAGAATACTGGAGTAGGGTACCCTTTCCTTCTCCAGGGGATATTCCTGGCCCATGGATTGAACCCACGTCTCTTAATCTCCTACACTGGCAGAAAGATTCTTTACCACTAGCGCCACGTGGGAAGCCGAATAATTGGACACTGACATGATATTATAGAAAACCCACTTCTCCACAGCCTTGCTTAGCAGGAGAAGCAGCAAGGAGATGGTCTCCATATCACTTCTGCCTTCTGAATCTTGTGCATCTCATTGGCTGAATCAGCACTCTGTCAAGAAGTCTGGGAAATGTAGTTTTTAAACTTTCCAGCTTCTGTAGTACTGAGAGGTATACTGGAGGATTGTAGAATGGATGTAGATTATTAGTCTGCAGGACACACCATTTATTTTTCAAGAAGGGTGCTAGATAAGGTGATGACCTTTTGTTGTTGCTGTCATTTATTTACTTTTGTTCTCATAAAACTTTTAAATTTATTTTTTAATTGGAGGAAAATTACTTTACAATGTTGTGTTGGTTACTGAGGTGATAATCTTGAACAATTGAAACTTTGAGGGTGCAAATGGGCCACATATTTTGTAGACTTCAAGGCAGTCTGACTAACTTCCTAAGAGTTTTCTTTGTGCAGACTGCCAGGTGAATTACAAAATATAAATGAATATTAGCCTTTGATAGGATGGAAGTGCTGTAACTGAGCAGGAACCTAGGTCTCAGCACCACCAACATCTGAATGGAGAATGAAGACATTGTGGAGCTGGCTGAGAATAGAAAAGAACAGTCTGCAGTGGGCATCTCCTCTTTCAGTCTTGCCAAGAGTTCAGAAATACGTGATCTTTGTGTTCAATTTTTTCTTCTATAGCAATGTGACTATTCTCTGTATTTGTTTCAGGAGGTCCAGTTCCAGTTTTCCCCCACAGTTCTGAGTTTGATTTCTTTCATACTGAAGTAGATTCTCCCCATTTTGCTTTACTGTCTGTTGGTCACCAGCTGAATGTTCAGCACGTAAGGGACAGTGGTATGTCAGGCAGAGAGGATTAGCCCTCTTGCATCTTGCAAGGCAAGGACAATAGGCATTGAACAAATAATTATAACGATGAGTCTTGCCAATAGAGACTGCTATGGAAGTGCTTGATGGGGGCCTGGCCTCGTTTAGTAGAAGGGTTAGGAAAAGTTCCTCTAGGAGATTATAGTTAAGCTTGAGACCCGAGGCCACCTGGGTCATCTGGGTGAAGACAAGGAAAGAGACTGAGATGACAGAGAATAGGGTTTTCATGAGAGAAACATGAAATAGCACTATACTTGTACAGGACACCACATCTAACTCAAGATTCATCATCACTGGTGGTTATTATTCCCTATCCATGGAAGTCTTTCCAGACAGCTAAAGATACAGTCAAGTATGGTAGATTCAAACTCTGGATTTGGGATGGGAGATGAGGGTGGGGGTGACACTGGGAACCTCGGGGATGGAAGTGTGGTGGGAGTAAGATGTTGCCTCGGAGACTCCTCTTTGTCGCACACTTTAATCACCAGGTCCTGGAAGAACCAAGTTTTGAAGGTCTCCTGATTTTTTTCCTGATTTCCAGTCTTCACGGCTACTGCGATTTGACTCTTGTCCTTGTGTGTCTGGATTACTGAGGTGGTCTCCTTAGCGGTCCCTTTTGCTATTACGTTTCACATAGCTGCCAGAGTTGGTTTCCTTTCTAAGTCACAAGTCTGACCCCAGCAAGACTTTGAGCCTCATCTACCCTAATGCATACAACCCAGCTGCCCTGGACTCCCTGAAATTCCTGATAGGCTACATACCTTCATGCCCATGTTCTTTCCCCCCTGCCCCTTTTCTCTTTATTGAAGTAGAGTTGATTTACAATGTTGTGTTAATTTCTGCTGTATAGCAAAGTGATCCAGTTATGCATATACTTACTTTCTTCCTTATTTTCTTTTCCATTATGGTTTATCACAAGATACTGAATGCAGTTCCCTTGTAGGAAGAGCAGGGCCTTGTTATTTATCCATTCTGTATATACTAGTTTGCATCTGTTAACCCCAGACTCCCACTCCATCCCTCTTCAATACACTCACCCTCTTGGCAACCCCAAGTCTGTTCTGTCTTTGAGTCTGTTTCTGTTTCATAGATAAGTTCATTTGTGTCATAATTTAGATTCCATGTACACGTGATATCATACTGTGTTTGTCTTTCTGTCTGACTTCTTCCCTTGCTATGATAATCTCTAGGTCCACCCATGTTTGCAAACGGCATTATTTCATCCTTTCTAATGGCCGAGTAACATTCAATTGTATCTATGTATCACATCTTTATCCATTCATCTGTTGATGGACATCTAGGTTGTTTCCATGTCATGTCTACTGTGAATAAGTGCTTCATGCCCTATGTTCTGGCTCATGACCTTCCATCTACCGGGATTGTCTTCTCCACCTTGGTCTTCTTTTCCTGATGATATCCCTTCCTCTCATTCTTTGGGCCCATTTCAGATGTTTCCTTCCTTGAGAATCCTTTTCCCACTCACTCTCTTAATCCCTCTCCTGTGGTGGGAGTGAGTGATTTCTTTCATCTTCGGATCATACCACCACCAAAGCTCTTTTACCCTACAGTTTGGTTGTTGTCTGTCTGCCTTGGCACTGTATTATATGCTTCTTGCTATCTAGTATATACAGAGTAAAATGTGAATAAGCCACACAGTGATTGATCTCCCCCAGTTTTTCTGTTAGTTAAAATGGTTGCTCTCAGTACAGTATTCTTCATGAAGTTCCAAGTAGAAGTTATTTCGTGAATACTTACTGAATACCTACTTTGTGCTGGTCACTAAAGATAATGTGCTGGCCACAGAAAAAAATGTTACCCCCTTTTCCTGTCCTTGGGGAGTTTATTCTGGGGAGACTGAAAAGCCAAGTGAATAGACAGCTTGTTGTGTTTCCCCAGCCAGATAAATGGGTGATTAAATGGTGTTTTTCAAATGTTTTTGACTTGCTCCTTTTTGCCTTTTCTTTCTCAGTGTTAGAGATTGATTTTGCGGAGCTGACCTTGGAAGAGATTATCGGCACTGGGGGCTTTGGGAAGGTCTATCGTGCTTTCTGGATAGGGGATGAGGTCGCCGTGAAAGCAGCTCGCCATGATCCCGACGAGGACATCAGCCAGACCATAGAGAACGTCCGCCAGGAGGCCAAGCTCTTTGCCATGCTGAAGCACCCCAACATCATTGCCCTTCGGGGGGTGTGTCTGAAGGAACCCAACCTCTGCTTGGTCATGGAGTTTGCCCGTGGAGGGCCTTTGAATAGAGTATTATCTGGGAAAAGGATTCCCCCAGACATCCTGGTAAACTGGGCCGTGCAGATTGCCAGAGGGATGAACTACTTACATGATGAGGCAGTCGTCCCCATCATCCACCGAGACCTTAAATCCAGCAACAGTGAGTATGGAGAGGTGGGGCTGGAGGGCTGGAGATCACTTTCAGACCTGGTCCATAGCTTGGGTTGGGGTGGATGTGTCAGGAATCTTATTGGGCAGTGAAATGCCCTGCATAAAGCCAGTCCATCCTTTGGGAATTCTCTGGCGGTTCAGTGGTTACGGCTCTGTGCTTCCACTGTAGAGGGTGTGGTTGGGGAACTAAGATCCTGCATGCCACATGGCACAGCCAAAAAGAGAAAGAAAAAGGGGGAAAAAATTACCAAAAAAAGAAAAGAAGAAAAATACCAAAAAAAGAAAGAACCCAATTAGCAGGCACGGTTGGCAGTGTGTAACTCTGTGATGTACTATTCAAACAAAACGCATAGGTTCGTTTTTCCATTCTGAGGAAAGGGTGGGTGCTTCTGAACACAAAAGGAGTTTTTCTCTTTAGTGAAACAATAGATAGAGCAAACCAATACCATCTATTTGCATTTCTGTCTGAACTGTCCAACCTGAGTTCCCACCAGAGAAGGGGAATAAGAGAGAGGAGGCGTGTCGTTTAAGCCGTGAGGCCCGTTCAGGTGACCGTGTCAGCTTGGGGAACACAACCTCACTGGTAGACCTACAGCTCTCCTGATGGCCTCAAGGTGGTATTAATTAATTGTCATAACTACACAGTGTTTAATAGCAGGGAACTGAGAAGTAACTGTTTATTAAACATCTAGAACCCATAAACTGGAATGTAAAGCAAGTGTTAGACATAATTAAATGGCGGGTTGGTATCAACTTCAGTCTCTTTCCTTGGCTGAATCAGCAGGCCCTGGGAGTATGCTTCTTTTGTGTGGTAATTTGGACTTTCCCCGGCCTAAACTGCATGGTAGAGAGGATACAGTTTGTTAAGTGGTATATGCCTAAAGTCACTTTGGGCATCCTGTCCAGAGAGGAGGGCGTTAGAGGAGTTTGGGGTCCCAGGAATTTCACGCTCTGTGTCCTTCAGCTTTGAGCCCAGAAATCCTTTAGACCCTGTTTTCCTCCTGGTTGTTCCAGATGTGGCTTATTTTTGTGTTGATGCTATTGTGAATCTGTTAACTTTAAAAAATATGTTTTAAATAATGTAGGTAGTAAGTACTTTTGTTCTGCAAAAATTAGGAAGTGTAGATAAACAGAAAGAAGGATCACCCATAATGTTTTCCTTCTGGAAGTGTATATATTGCATTTGGCATATTTTCCCAGGCATTTAAAAAGCATATATGGCCCATATATACAGAAATATACTTTCCAACTTACTTTAAAATAGCATTTGTTACCCTTATCTCATCTACATGCATCCTCTTCCCCTTTAGTAAGAGCAGATTTCCTCCTGGTGAGAGTATGGAGCATTAGCTGTGTATTATGGATATAATGCATGTGAAGGATTTAAGTTCCATAAAGTAAATCTGGTTCCTCTTTTCCTTCTGCCATTATTCTATTTCTTTACTATATGATTATTCTCATCCCTTCTGCACAGTTCTGTTCTTTAAATGTGTATGTGTGTGTACGCCTAGTTGTGTCTGACTCCTTGCAACTCCATGGACTATAGGCTTCTCTGTCCATGGTGGGGGATTCTCCAGGTAAGAATACTGGAGTGGGTTGCCATCCCTCCTCCAGGGGTCCTTCCCAACCCAGGGATCGAACCCAGGTCTCCTGGGTTCTTTGCAGATGGATTCTTTACCATCTGAACCACCAGGAAAGCCCTTTAAATGTATAAAATAAGTTAAAACTTCTGCTGACTTCCTTTTTAAGGAAAAAAAAAAATTTCTACCTAGAGATTGCTTTGGGTGATGGAGTGAGAATAAGCAGATGTGTTGGTAGAAAACGTGATATAGAAGCTGAATTTTTAAAAAATGCATTCTTATATCCTTATCATGCTGGGTGAACCAGGCATTGTGCACTAATCTTACATAATTGAGCCCATTTAAAAACTTGGTCTAGGGTGATTGTAAAAGTTAATAATTTCCTCTATGAAGTTTTACATCTGGGTATAATTTCAAGCTGCAGATACAAGGTTTTACATTTTTTGATTTATGTTTGGAAGTCTAGACTCTTTCAGTATATGTGCTGCCGAAGCGAGCACGGAAGTCTAGACTCTTATGAAGGGAAAACTAACTTGCTAAGGAAGTGCAGGGGACCTGAGTGTCATTCTGTCTCCTTGGAGACAAAACCCTGGTCCTTGTCCTAATGTGGGTTTTAGGATTTCCGAGGGGGACCTTCAGGTACAGTGTATGGTGGCAGGGCATACATAGGGTACTATTTTAAAGGACCTCATCCAGCAAGACGGTTGATGCCCTGAAATGTGCATAGTCCACTGATGCTGACGTTGATGCCTGCTGTAAATCTCACATGTGAGTTGGGGTAACTCCTTGGTATTTGTCTGTGGGTGGCTGTTTGTCCGTGATTGAATTTATCCAATATGAACCCCGATGACACTGTTGTTCTTATTCCATTGCTGCGTGTACTGACTTGAAAATCATTTTAGAAATGTTACGTCATTTCTTTGCCTGCAGAATGAGAGTTGTAACTTCTTTGTGTTTTGCAGACTTGGGGGTACTGGGGATACTTGGGGATACTGTTTCTCTTGGTTTTTATTAGAAGCTCCAGAGAGTTGCATTTTGTTTATAGTCATGTGAGGGCAGAATTCTGTGAATTATATGTGTTAGTTGACTTTGAACCCCTAGAGAAAAGAATAAGGTATACATGGGGGTTGTCTTGTGGAAAAAAGGAAATAGCTGGTGATAAAGTCTGTTACAAAACGTTCAGTAAAAAAGTAATTTATTAAACAGTTTTATATATCCTGATCATCTGTTTATTTATTTATTTTTTTTCTGATCATCTGTTTAAAAAAGTCGTGTGCTATTTATGACATATTTGTAGCATAGACTATCTTAGGCTGTTCATGTATCATCTGAAGTAAGGTTTGGTTTAATGCACATAACTTGAAAAAACAAAACAAAGTAACAGTGGCTAAAACAAGGTATACATTCATTTGTGTTTGGAAAGAAGGCCGGGGGTGTTTAAAGCATCTCCACATCTCTTTACCGCATCTCAGGGTTGCCTTAGGATCCAGGATGACTTCTGAAATGCCAATTGTTTGGTCAGAGTCACAGGCCTGAAGGAGCGGGAAAAGCAGAAGCACAGAGGAAGCTGCTCCTCTGGCCGAGTCGTCTCCCATTAGCTTCCTCGAAATCCAGCACAGCACCTGTGTGTATTCAGTGGCTAGAATGGAGTCCCATAGCCATGGCTAGCGCGGGGGCCACTGGGCGGTGGAGGGTTTTATTCTGGGTTGGCGTGGAGCCTGGCTAATAATCAGGGTCTGTTACCAAGGAAGAGAGAGAACGTGGATGGTGGGGAAACAGCTGGCAGTCTTACCATGAAATCTGGGAACATGCATTGGGAAGAAGTGTTATCTTAGATAGTTATTAGATTTTTAGCATTATACTGCCAATAAAGCAAGGTTAGCCAGGCGCTGGGATGTGTGGCTCAGACTCCTGATTTAAGGGATGGTTTCTACTATGCTACCGCAGTGCATCATTAACTTAAACATCTCTTCTTGAAACTCCTCACTGAAGTCCTGGCTATAAAAGTGGATTTATGTGTCTCTGCTCCTCACACTGGGGAAAGCCAGCCACTTGATTGTTAGCAAAGATGTTAGTGAAAGATGGTCTTTTAGTGGAAAGATTGTCCTTTTGGGGGTAGGTAAGTGGATTTCAGGTTTTTGGCTTAAGGGCATTTGGCAAAATAACAGTTTAATAGGGGCTATTAAGAATAAAATTAGTATAAAAATGAGGTGATAGAAAATGAAAAGCCTTGCTCAAAGTGAAGGTAGTGGTATTACTTTTGTTATTAACTTCTTTCCTCCCATTAAAAAACATGGAAAAACATAGAGCTAAACGCAGTGTGTGTTTTTCCTTTTTTTTTTTTTTGCATTTTTTCATATTTCTTTTCACCCATGAATCTTAACTGTGCGTGTGTGCTAAGTCACTTCAGTTGTGTGTGACTGTGATCCTGTGGACTGTAGCCTGCCAGGCTCCTCTGTCCTTAGGATTCTCCAGGCAAGAATACTGGAGTGGGTTGCCATGCCCTCCTCCAGGAGACCTTCCTGACCCTGGGATCAAACCCACGTCTCTAACATTGGCAGAGACCAACCCAGAGATCGAACCTGCGTCTCTTACATTGATCCATGTCTCTTTCACTGGCAGGCAGGTTCTTTACTTCTAGAGCAACCTGGGAAGCCCCAAATCTTACACAGGAAATCCTAATGGACATGGGTTTGGATGGACTCTGGGAGTTGGTAATGGACAGGGAGGCCTGGCGTGCTGCGATTCATGGGGTTGCAAAGATTTGGACATGACTGAGCGACTGAACTGAACTGAACATTGCTTGTAGCATGCTTTCTCTCCCCACTGCCAACTTGCTAAATTGTGACCACTTTCTTATTAAGTAAATATTCTTCTACCACAAGATATTTAAAGGTTTTACAGTTTTCCACTACAGTATTTTGGCTTCCCAGGTGGCTCAGTGTAAAGAATCTGCCTGCCAAGCAAGAGACGCAGGTTCGATCCATGGGTCAGGAAGATTCTCTGGAGAAGGAAATGGTAACCCCACTCCAGTATTCTTGCCTGGGAAATCCCATGGACAGAAGAGCCTGGCTGGCTACAGTCCATGGGGTCGGAAAAGAATTGGACATGACTTACAACTAAACAACAGCAACTACAGTATTTAAATATAGTATATTAACTAAACCAAACCTGTATATAATCATCATCATCACCAAACCTCTAAATAATAATAATAATAATAATAAGCAACTAATGCTTATTGAGTGTTCTCTTTTGGTCAGGCCCTATCTAAGCATTTTATGTGGGTTCTTATCTAATTTTCACACCATCGCCGCAGAGTGAAGACTGTGAGTGTCTTTATTTTACAAATAGGAAGCAGAGGCTCAAAATGGGCAGCCGTTTCTCTAGGTTCTCGCTGCGAGTCCTGAGACCAGGCCTGACTCCTCATGGCTGCACTGTTATCTGCACTCTGCTGAGGGTTAGCTGGGGTGCTTCACTGCCCTGATACTTATTTTGTGTAGTGCTTTT